CTACTACACATTGTTGCACTGGGGTTTCAAACAGTGCCAAGGTGCAGACTGTTACAAAGTGACACGTCAACACCAAATACCACAGTTCCACAGCAACCAAATGTTTAACATCATAACAGAAAAAATAATAAAGTCAATTGAGTCTCCAGTATTGTTATCCTCTAAAAAAAAAAATAAATAAAAAGTAAAGCAGAGATCCAACCTTTCACGCTGTGTGTTTTTAGGAATTACATGAACGACAGCCTCCGGACAAACGTGTTTGTTCGCTTTCAGCCCGAGACCATCGCGTGTGCTTGCATTTACCTGGCTGCCAGGGCCCTGCAGGTGAGCACTGCCTCGCATTGCTGGGGGGCTGCTTCCAACAGAATTCATGCAGACATTGAAAACAAAAGCCTGGGCTGTAATCCCTGTTGCTGGTTGTTTGGGTTTCAGATTCCGCTGCCCACTCGCCCTCACTGGTTCCTGCTCTTTGGCACCACGGAAGAGGAGATTCAGGAGATCTGCCTGACCACTCTCAAGCTTTATACCAGAAAAAAGGTAAGTTTGAGGTGTTTGGTTTTCCTGCTCTGTGTTTAGTGCAGCTTGAGCTGAGTTATGGCTCTCCAAAAGTTTGGGAATGCTGGAATACGGATCTACTAATGGGAAAGGCTCCCGTGAGGGGGGTGTGAGAACAAATTCCAGAAATTACCCCCATTACTGGACAGATGATTAAAGCCAGCTGAGTATTTTTCAGAAATGAGATAAAAATACAAATTGCATTAGCTCAACCTCTGACCTCATTGTTACTTCCACAGCCTAATTATGAGTTTCTGGATAAAGAAGTAGAAAAGAGGAAAATGGCACTGCAGGAAGCTAAACTGAAGGCAAAAGGTTTAAATCCAGATGGAACTCCAGCACTGTCGACACTGGGTGGCTTTTCTCCTGCATCCAAACCATGTAAGTTTGTTTTCTGAATAGGAACTTGCATAACACTTTGATAAGTAACTAAATCTGTGTCCCAGGGTAGTTAAAAAAAAAAAAAGGCAGGTTTGCTTCTCTAACTGCTGGGACAGTTTAGGCTCCCTCACAGAACTAAGCAGCAAGGCAAATCTTTTTTTTTTTTTTTTCAAACATAGATTTTAAAACCATTTTCAATACCTTGAAATAACATTATAGGGAAAAGGGATACTTTACTCCATACTTCCACAGGTGGGAGAGTGATCTATTAATGACATGCACCCTTCATGAGACAGGAGTTGGTGTGTGTTACATGGTGTGAAGAGAGACTCTGGATTCAGTTTGGGGGATGTTGCAATGGCCTTCATGGCTCCTTTTGCTGCAGGTGTCTCTGAAAATGGCTTTCTCTGCCTTTTTTAATGCACTTGGCAACTGTTCAGTGGGATGAAGGCAGGCAGCTGGTGGTCAGGAAATGGAGGAGGGAAAGGCACAGCACAGTCTTGGCACCAGAGGGAATAAACTGTATCACCTATTTTGAACCAGCCTGTCTGTCAGAAGTCTGATGGTTTGTCTTGGTGCTTTCACGTCTCCTGCTGCTGCTTTTGAGCTGTGAAGTGCCAGGGGGGTTCAAAGGCCCTCACAGGCCTTGACCCAGTGGTGGTGGTGAGGCAGAGAAGGCTCAGGGCCTGGTCTGTCTGTGGCTGTGCAGAAGCTTGGGCATGTGTTGTGAGGAGCAGCACTGTCACAGTTCCTTCTGAAGAGTCGGAGTTTTCAGAGGGTTTGACCTGGCAAGTGTGAATTTCTCATGGACAAAGAATGTGAGGTGGGAGCCAAGGCTGGGGGTGTTGGAAAGCAGGAACTCTTTTGGGCTTAGCAGCCCTTCCATGAGAGGTGAATCCATCTCTGTAAAGACAGTCACTTATGAGCTAAACACACTTAGCTGCAGTTTGCTGTTCAGTCTTAATCCTTTCTGTAACATTGGAAATTATTGTCCAAGTAACAAGCTCTGTATCTGTGGGCCATAAGGGCAGCTTTTATTTTGTGCCTTTTGGCCTCTGGTGGATGAAGGTGAGCCTGGCTGTGTGGTGTGGAGTCACAGTGCTCTTACTCCTCTGCTGTCACTTGGCTTCACATTATGGGTCTCCCCATGAACATCCTGCTGCAGGAACGAACTAAAAATGGAAAGATGGAACGAAATAGTAGCTACTGAGTTTGTATCTACATTTAGTGCAGATACTGGTACAGGTGTTTAAGGGACGTACAGTATGTTCATGACAAAGGATGAATAAATAGCTAATTTTGAATTTAAATTCAATTCTCAGCTTCCCCGAGAGAAGTAAAAGCTGAAGAGAAATCACCAGTGTCTGTGAATACCAAAACCATTAAAAAGGAGCCAGAGGAGAGGCAGCAAACCTCCAAGAGCCCTTACAATGGGTAGGTAAAACCTCTCCTGGTAAAGAGAATACTTGAGTAAAAATGCTTTCTTTAACTAAAGTACAGCGAGCCACTGCTGAGCTCCTTCAGTAGTGAGTAACAAGTGCCTCAGAAGTGCAAGCCTGGTTTGTTTTTGCCCCCCTCCAGCTTGAGAAAAGAAAGCAAGAGAAGTCGAAGCAGCAGGAGCGGCAGGCGGGCCCGGGCGAGGGCAAAGTCTCGGTCTCGCTCGCGACACGGCCGAGCGGCGGCAGTGAGTGGGGGCTCTGGGGAGGGCAGGATGGGGCAGGGGCTTCGGGGGCTATTGGCAGGCTCAGTTCCATCAGGATCCCATCACAAATGGGAGCAGTCTGGGCACACAGTGCCCGTGGAAGGGGTGAGAAGTGCCACAGGACCAGTTAGACGTGTGGCAGCTTTGTGGTGTCAGTGCTCCCTGGTGCTCTGCCCGGCTCTTCAGGGCTCTGCCCCTCTCCTGTGGTGGGAAGAGGGGGATGCAGGGAGTGCTCCTGCCTTCATAAATACATACTTTTGAAGAATCTTCAGGCTCATATCCAAGTTGGAAGCTGCCAACTTGGATGTCAGTGAAGGGTTCCCCAAAGTATCCCTGTGAGATCACTGAGGGAAAAGGGCAATAAGCAGTTTGTGAGCTGGTGTTGAGGGGAGATTCTTGACAAGGTGGAAAAATCTCAAAAGGTGCTGCATTCTGGGTTTGGTTTGGGCTGTTTATTTTTAAATGAGCTCAACTAAAAGAATCCCAGACTGGTTTGGGTTGGAAGGACCATAAAGCCTATGCAGTCCAACCCCCTGCCATGGGCAGGGTCCACCTTCCACTAGCCCAGGCTGCTACATTTGGGGAATATACACTGTCCTTCCTTATTGTAGTCCCGTGGGGAAAAAACAGCCCTCTGACTTCTCCTCAGTGCCTCGCGCCCCTTTGCTGTGGTTTGGTTGTTGTTTCCCCGTGTGGAAGGCCCGTTCTAACTGCCCCTCTCCCGCAGCTACAACAACCGGCGCAGCCTGTCGGGCACCTACAGCTCGCGGTCGCGGAGCCGCTCGCGCAGCCACAGCGGGAGCCCCCGGCGGCACCACAACCACGGCTCCCCGCACCTCAAGGCCAAGCACGGCCGCGAGGAGCTCAAGGGCGCCAACAGACACGGCCACAAGCGGAAAAAATCCCGCTCCCGCTCCCAGAGCAAGTCCAGGGATCACTCGGAGGCCGCCAAGAAGCACCGGCACGAGCGGAGCCACCACCGGGAGCGGCGCGAGCGCTCCCGCTCCTTCGAGCGCTCCCACAAGGGGAAGCACCACGGCAGCGGCCGCTCGGGGCACGGGCGGCACCGGCGCTGAGCCCCCGGGCACAGAACTGTGGCACTGCACAGCCCCTGCCAGGTTTGGAGGGACTTGGGCCCCGGGGCTCCTTTGCCAAGAGGGGCGGAAGACTTTTGTTTGTTTTTTCTTTTGGGACAGGAACTGTTACCAACTTTTTGCACATAATACCTTAGCAGTATCCAAGGGGTGGAAAACCATGATCAGGTTCGTTGTATGTATTAGAGCTGTGTATTGTTTATTGAGCTGAGAACTGGAGACAGGATTTCTGTAAAAAAGCAAAACCTACCTTATTTTTATACCAGTCAATTGCAGACGCTTATATTTAAGTATAGTTATTTGTTTAAACAATGGTGGAGACTTTCTTACACTGGTTTTAGTCTGCATGTGTTGAAAGATTTTTACAAGAAATAAAATATAAAGCTTTTTTTTTTTTTTTACTGCCTGTTGGATGCCAAATGTGTTGGAACTAAACTTACTTTTCTTACACACCCTGGCCTTGAGTGCTGTGCCTGAGTGGGACATGGTGGGTAAACTGGGAAAGCTTTAGATGTTTGTCCTTCCCAGGGAGGCCAGGCAGCAGTTGGAATAAATGACCATGGACCTCTCTGAAGTTCAGTGGGAGGAGCCAGGGATGGGTGTCCTGCTCTGTCAGCTGCCCTGGGAGTTTGGGGTGTCCCTGTCCCTCTCAACTCTGTGGGGCAGAGGGCAGGAGCTGCGTCAGCTGTTCCAAAGGCCTGGAGGGATCAGGTTTGGGGTTTTATTTCCCATCTTTCATTGCAGTGGCAGGATGCTGGCAGGGGAAGGAGGGATCCTCTTGCAGGTGAAGTGCTGACACAGCTTTCAGCTGAGCAGGGCCACCCCTGCAAGGGTCATGCTGACACAGCTTGGGAAGCTCAGACACATTCCCTGTGCTGCACTGAAAGCAGGAGCTGCTGGGAGCTCCTCACTGTGTCCTGCTGCTGGAGCTGTGTCCTGGGGTGGGACAGCTCCAGTGCCAGGGAAAGGAGAGAGGGAAGGGGTGAGGAGGAACTGGGTCTGATCCCTACAGCTGCTGCTCAGGTGGTACCAAGACCTGAAACCCGCAGTGGTGAGGAGTTTGCTGTCCTTGCTGACCCAGAGTCTGGCATGGAAAGACCTTTTCCCTCCCTCAGTGCCTCTCCACTTCCCTGCCGAGGGTGACCTGGCTGGAATGTTGAGCTGCAGAGCCCAGGTGGGGGCAGGTCTGGCCCCTGGGACTGTGGGAGCAGTGCCAGCCTGGGTGCCCACACCCTGCAGGCCTCAAATAGGAGAGGGAAACCGGCTGAGCAGAACCTTCCTGAGCTGGAGCTTTCCTGCCCTGTGTCCTGCTGGGCCCCGGCTGCAGCTGCGCCCTGGAAATGCAAAAGTGAGCGTGTATTTTCGAAAGGGAGAAGAGAAAATGTCTTCTCTGTTTCTTGGTTACCACCGTGGGTTTTTAATCTGTAATAACTGTGTTTTGTGTGTGTTGCTTTCAGGAAAATACATTTGTTGCCATGACAACAAGAGTAGCTTTTCCCCCAGATCCCAGTGCTCGGATAGTCGAGGGCAACAGTGGAATCCCAGGGCTGCAGGAGCAGCAGGATTGCCTGGAGCTCCCTTGGACTGGGGGTTTGGGTGTGGGGGTGACACTGGGGGCTCAGCTCTGTGTGTGTGAGCACTAACAACCCTCTGTGCTTCCAGTGCTGGGCAGAGATGGACCTGCAACGTGGAGCTGGAACAGCTGGAGATGAACAGCCACACACCATCTGCTCCCTGACAGGCGACGAGAGGTTTGCTGTTCTCTCCATGGGGAAAAAACTCTCCAGCCAGTGGTGGATGAAGTGATGCATGGTGGCCTCAGCCACCCAAGAGCTCTGCCAGCTGTGGGCTCTGGGGTTGGTGGTTGCTGAGGTAAAAGCAGCAGGACTTTCCCAACGCCAGGAGTTCCAGGTCAGAGCTGTCAGGAGGAGGAGCCCACTGTGGGTGAGCTGAGTCACTGCCTGGGCCCCTTGCTCGTGGGCTCTGTGGGGGGAGAACTCTGGCAGGGTGATGGTTCTGAGGGGCTGCAGCCCCTTAATGCCCCTGTTCCTGGAGGACTTGTCAAGGCCCTGCTGGGCACGACAGCCAGAAATCTCACCGTGACAGTCGATGTCTCTGCCGAGCCTTTGAAGGGCCGTGTGTGTTCCCTGAGCTCTACATCACTGAAATGAATCCCCTGAGAGGGCTGGTTGGCTTCAATCACACTGACCCCCAGCGTCCCTCGGGGCTGCACTCACCTCTCTCAGTGGCTGACAGGGATTTTTCTTTAAGATTTGTTATTTTTAAATTCCTCAGTGTCTTCCACGTTCTTGGGTCACTAAGGGGAATCTCCAGCAGCACAAACACCTCTGACATCCAGAAGCCTCCAAGCAGCAGGAGGGCCTCACCACAGCTCCTGCCTGGAGCCCCCAGCTCTGCTTCCCTGCAGACCCAGGCAGGGGGAAAAAACACTGATGGATGTGTTTGAGAAGTGAGACAGAGCTTCGAGTGCCCAGCACTGACCTTTGGTGTCTCACTGCCCTGATTGTCACATGCAGGGGCTTTGTCCTGCCCAGTGCAGGAGTGGAGTGGGCAGGTGAAGCACCAGGAATTAAGATTTTGGTCCTTCCTGTCCATCTTCCCCAGGATTTTCATGGGTGGTGTCTCCAGGGCTGTCACAGCTGGCAGAGGTGGCTCAGGCTGAGCCTCAAGCCCAGATGGTCACGGGCAAATGTTGGCTGAGCACTGGCAGAGTGGAGCCCTCCTGGGAATGGCAGCTGGGGGAGGCAGGAATGGGAGCTGTGTCTCACCCTGAGGCACAGTCCCCTGGCTGGGATGGATCCAGGAAAACCAGCTCCAACAGCACCTGACTGCGAGCCTCGAGCTGCCCGTGGGAGCTGCAATCCAGAGGGAAAGGGGAGCAGGATGGTGAGAGGGGCTTGGCAGGGGGGACAGGGTGGGGACACCTGTGTGGCACCGAGTGTGGCACCCACTGTGGTGCCACGGGGACAGTTCCCTGGGAAAACCAGAGTATTCCTGCACTGCCTGACAGGCTGATGGGAATCAGGTGCTGCCAGAGCTCTGACAACCTGGGACCCACAGGGACAGGGGGACACGTCTGTCCCAGCTGAGCAGTTCTCTGGGGGCACAGGGGCTTGGGGGGGTTGGTCTCACCCTCAGAGTTGCTTTTCCTCAGGGAAAGAGGTTTGTTACAATGTTTTGACTAATTGTCAACAAAGTGCTGCAAATGTTTGAAGGGATTTACATTCAGACTGTTCTGTCCTTCCCTTTCAGCTTTGTCACAAGCCTTGGAAGGATGAACCTGGACCAGGAGCTTTGGATGGTTTGGGAAGGAAAAAAAAGAACAACATAAGGATATTCCTGATGGGAATTGACCCAAGAGGTCCCTGTCAGGGCTTTGGCCACCCCCAAACCCCACAGGTGAGTGACAGCAGCAACAGCACACACTGATAAGGGTCCCTTTTCCAGGAAATCTTCCCCTGGTTGCTGCTCCTGCCAGGGAATGTTCATGAAATCCATCATTTCCCATCAGGCCATCCACAAACGTCCAAGCTCGTGGCTCTCCTGTCCGTGCTCCCCAGTGCTCCCTGCTCCAAAGCACAAGGTTGTTGCTTCCAGGCTCTTTGGGGCAGGAAACAAACCTATGGCTGTGGCACAGCAGAGCTCTGGCAATCAGAGGGGAAAACACTCCTGCAAAGGCAACAGCTCTCCATCCCCACCTCCTGCCTGGGCACAGCCCAGCAGGGCAGCTCAAAACAAAACAAGTTGAAATTAGCAAAGCTGGCCTGAAAAAAAGTCCTTATATTGCAGTAGAGGGGGAAAATTGACAAAAGTTACCATTTTTGTCTTAGGGTAGAAAATCCCTTGTCATGGGTTTGCTGGAGAGGACAAGGGGCTCATGGACCCACCTCAAGCAGTCCCAACACCGCTGGGGATCCCGGGAATGCTGTGAACACCCATTCCCGGGAATGCTGGGCACCCCTCACTCCCGGGAATGCTGTGAACGCCCATTCCCGGGAATGCTGGGCACCCCTCACTCCCGGGAATGCTGTGAACACCCACTCCCGGGAATGCTGGGCACCCTTCACTCCCGGGAATGCTGCCGCTGCTCCCGCTGCCATTCAGGGTTCGTTCTGTAGGTGGAAGTGTTGCAGAGCCCAGCTGAGCATTCCCAGCTGAGCATTCCCTGCTGAGCATTCCCTGCTGAGCATTCCCGGGCTCTGCCGGAGCCCCGCACAGCAACCCCCAGGAGAGCCGGCAGGGAGGGGACAGGGTCCTGCCCCGGGGCAGCCCCATGCAGGGGGTCAGACAGTCAGCTGCTACCCGAATTCCAGCTGTGGGGATGGATGGGAAGCCTCGAGGGGTGATGTCACCCACCAGCCATGTGAGATCCCCCAGTGCTGACCAGTGACAGCCGGTGTAACACTCCCTGTGCTGGGCTGTGCCAGCTGGGGGGTCAGCCTGAATTACCCTGCAGGGAGGGTTACAGTGGGGTCACTCAGCACAGCTGAGCTCCCCGAGGGCCTGGCACAAGTTTCCCAGGGAAGCTGTGGCTGCCCCATCCCAGGAAGTGTCCAAGGCCAGGTTGGACTGGGCTTGGAGCAACCTGGTCTGTGGAAGGTGTGGGGACAGGACCTGCCCCTCCCTCCACCAGCATTGTGGAGCAGCTCCCAGGGGCCATGATTTCTGTCAAGGAAATCATTTCCCAGCAGCTACTGCAGAGAGAGCCCCAGGAAATACAACAGGGATTGAGCAGAGCTGTTGGCCTGGTCCTGCTGTTCCCCCAGAGCTCTGATAGCTGAGAGGAAACAGCCGTGGGAAGGATAATAACTGAGTCTCCTGGGGCCTTACCAATCCTGCTGGGGAAGGGTTTCTGTGCCCCAGTGAAGTCCAGGTGAGTGGAGCAGGGCTTTTGATCCCACTGAGGCAGTTGCAGGTCCTGGGCAGCTCCTGGTGTGTGCTCTGTGCTCAGAAAGGAGCCAAGAGGGGAAATCAACAGCAAAAGGATCTTAAACCACGTGAATCCACTGCAGGGCTCTCACCGGTTCAAACACACCCATCCAGTGATTGGTGCATCTTCCCAAAATACCTTCCTGCCTGGGACCTGGTGTGGGGTGACCAGGAGCTGGCACCCGGGGGCCTGAGCTCCCAGGTTGGAGTGATTTGGGGCTGGGAAGCCGAGGCTTTGTTCAGAATCTGAAGGCTTTTCTATGCCACGACTTCTCTGAAAAACAAACACCCTCAGCATCTCGAGTCAGCTGGAGCTGGCTCAGAATTCCCCCCCATGCTGAGGAGACACCTGCTCTGGTGACACACCGTGGAGGGGGAGGGCTGGGGCTGTCGCTGCTGCTCCTTTGGCGGGAATAAATCACCCCCTCTCTGCACCGACAACATCCTCCCTCCCTCCCGCTCCCCCCGCGGTGTCTCTGCCGGGGCCCCGGGCCAGCATTCCCAGCGCTCAGTGTTTGTATCCACACGATGTTCTGGACGAGCAGGACACGCAGGATGAGAGCACAGTAGTCGTTTGCCATCAAGGAAACCGCAAGCAACAAACAGAGATGTTATCTCTGACATCTGGTTCTGGTTTGGGGAGATCTGTCTGCCCGTGTTAATGGGATGGCTCGCGGCTGTTTTTGTTTTAGGACTCCTCGTGGGTTCCCTTGGCAACAGCGAAGCCAACACGGGGATAACAGCCTGGGAACACAAAGGCAGCACTGACACCCTTCCCCTCAGCAGCCAAGGACGAGAGCTGGTGACAGTGACCTTGGGACAGGCCAGCTCGATGGGAAGGTGTCTCCAGCCAACCTTTCAACGCCCCAGGTAAGAGATTTTAAGAAGCTGTGCTGGGGGGTTCCTGGGATAACAGCCCCCTGAAGCACATCCAAGTGCCTCCAACTGAACCCTGCCATGGGTGCTGTGCATCCCCTGGGAGCAGCACTGGGCACAGGATAAAACCCAGGGGTTTGCTGATTACAAGACCAAGATGTGTTACTTTAAACAAAATCCCCAAAGCAGACCCTGGGCTTTGGGTGAGAGGTGCCAACCCCTGTCCTGTGCCATAGAATCCTTGAATCCCAGACTGGTTTGTGTTGGAAGATTTAAAGATCATCCAGTTCCACCCCTG